GTTCTACGTTGGCAAATCAGCGGCATACATCATTTAACTCCAGAAAGAGGAATGCTGCTTCCTTTGCATTTTGGGAGCAAGAATCAGCATCTAAAGTAGCGAAAACCACTTCTAAAAATTATAAGAAATGTGACTATTGTAATGAAAACCATAAAATTTGGTCCTGCTTAAAATTCAAAAAACTATCTTTGCCAGACAAAATTACCGTGGTAAAGACAGAAAAATTATGCATTTTATGTCTACGAGATCACTCTGGTGAATGTACGAGCAATTTCAAATGTAGATTGTGTAATGAAAAACACAGTTCTTTGCTTCATGGCTACAAAGAGGCTACAAAAACTAAACCAAACAGTTCATCGCAATCTTCGTCCTCAAATATATGACTAGCAACAGTTCAAGTTTACGTCTTATGCAATAATAAAAAGCTTAAATGTAAAGCATTGCTAGATTCGGCCTCACAGTTAAATTTTTTATCTGCCACTTTTTCTAAATCTCTAAAAATACCCGCTGAAGCTCAAAAATGTGAAATAAAAGGAATTGGAAGTGCTTATTCATATGAAAAAAAGACGGTTGACATTGTTCCCTTGTCTTCGTCAAAACAGCAATCTACAGAAATTTTGGGAAATAGAAGATGGCGACTTTCAAGAAAGTCGATCTGAAGTGTCCAGTTGCGAAAAAATATTCTGTGAAACTTTGAGAGACGCCGAAGATGGAAAGTTTATAGTGCAACTACCTTTGAAAGAACATCCAATTGTTTTGGGCAATTCCAAAAGTATAGCGTTGAAGAAACTGTTTGACCTTGAAAGAAAATTGGACCAAAATGAAAAGTTGAGAACCTTGTACTCTGACTTCATGCGAGAGTACATTTCCTTAAACCATATGAGTCTAGTGCCCGAAGGAGAAGAGGATACAAACCCAGCGTATTACATCCCTCATTTAGGTGTGCTTCGAGAGGGTAGTTTAACTACTAAGTTAAGGGTAGTGTTTAACGCTTCTTCCAAAACATCGCCAAACAACAAATCATTGAATGATATTCTACATGTGGGCCCCACAATCCAAGACACCCTTTTTGAAATTTTACTGAGATTTCGGGAGTACCCTGTTGCACTGACTGCGGATATCACAAAAATGTATCGCCAAATATGGATCGACGAAGCACAACGTGACTTACAAAGAATTTTGTGGAGGGAAAAACGGTCTGATCCGGTGAAAATTTATCGACTGAATACTGTCACATACGGCACTGGACCCGCTCCCTTCCTAGCAATAAGATCGCTAAATGAAGCTGCCTTACAACAGAAACACAGATATGCAGCTGCTTCAAAAAGTATTCCGAGTTCATTTTATGTAGATGATTATCTAGGAGGAGCAGAAACAATAAAGGAGGCAATCCAACTAAAGAATGATGTAGAGGAAATTTTGCTTCGAAGAGGTTTTCCGCTTAGAAAATGGGCCTCAAATGAGAAAAACGTATTCCAAAACACTAGTAATCGCACAGAGCCATTTTATTTCAATGAAGAGACTGATGTTAAGGTTCTGGGCATCGGTTGGATCCCAAAAACGGATCAATTCTTTTTTAAAACGGTCAATTCTCCTACTCCCAAGAACGGCTATTCAAAAAGAACGATATTATCAG